TACCTGTTTTCTATTGTGTGGTTGGTCTTTTTTTTTTTTTTTTTTTTTTAATCGCTCTTCTGGTGCTGAGTTTTGTGACAGGGGAGGGGCCGGGGGTGGTTGCGGAGGGCGAGAGGTAGGGGGAGGTGGGCAGGGTCTCTTGTCGCGGGAGTCCAGTCCCCCAGGTGCTGCCCACATCAGCGCAGGGGACTGGGAAAAGGTCACCGCCGGACCCCTGAAGCTCAGATCTCTGGCTTCTTTGCTGCAAGGGAGTTAGCAGCAGAAACTCCCTTAGCGTCTTTGCAGGGACGAAATTACAAAACACCTAACCCTTCCATTTCCTTGCGTGGGAGAGAAAACGAGTGATCGTGACCCCGACGTGACTTGAACACGCAACCTTCTGATCTGGAGTCAGACGCGCTACCATTGCGCCACGAGGTCACTGGACAGGGGTGACTTTTGATCTTTTAAGACTCTTCCAGCCTACACCTCCCCCTCCCCCCTCCGTCGCGTCCCTACGTCGCTCCAGCGCTTCGCTCCAGCGCTTTGCGAGGGAGTCGCAGGGCGGACAGAGCCGAGGCGGGGGCGCAGGGCTGCACCCCGTGAGGGCGGGGGGGCCCCCGCCGCCACCTGCCCGTCCGGCCGCTCGGACCCCGCGGGGGACAGTCGGGCTCCAGGCCGTTCGCGGCGGCCCCCGGGGGCCCCGGAGCCTCCGGGGCTGCTGTCTCCGGGGGCCACCAGCACTGGGGACCCGGCGGGGACCCGGCCCCCTGGACGCCGGCGGCCGGGAGGAAGCGGTCAGCGCCAGGAAGTGAGGGTTGGGAGGACGCTCGTCCCCACCGAGGAATAAAAGGGGAAACAAAAACCCAACCCAAGTGACTTTGGAACTTAGCATAAAAATAGAATGATCATAAGCCCCTACCCCCGCCCCCCGCCCTGCTCCCAGCCCCAGGTATAAAACTAAAAACTCATTTTTGAAAATGTGGATGTTATAGAAGAGTGTAATACAACTGGAAACCAGTGATTTCTTGGATTGCATTTTGATGTATTTCCGCATTTCCTTCTTCCCAGGGAGTCACAAGTGTCCTGCCAGAGCTTGGGGACTGTGGAGAACAGCACGGGTTCAGAAAACCGCAGTCATCACCGAGGGAACACCCTGGCCCCCGCCCCCGGGTCGAGAAACAGGACCTGCCCACCACTCCCCCGCCCCCAAAGCCTCCGGGGTCCACAGCCGCCCTCCTCCCCACCTCTATGATAATCACCTCTATGATAATCACTTCTCTGCTTTCTTTTCTTTTCTTTTTTCTTTCCTTTTCTTTTATCTTTTCTTTTCTTCTTTCTTTCTTTTTTTAAAGATAGAGTAGGCTCCATCCATCGTGTAACCCCACACGGGGGACTTGAACTCGGGACTCAGATCATCCCCTGAGCTGAGATCAAGAGTAGCTCGCTCAGCGCTCAGCAGACCGAGCCGCCCAGGCGCCCCCAACTGCTTTCCTTTATAGTTTTATCACTCAAGCGTGCGTCCCTAAACCCTATAGTTCCCTTTTGTAGAACTCACTTTTCACGTGGTGGTGGTCCCCTCTCCTCTCTTTCTCCTTCACAGAGTCGTCCCCACCCCAACGAAATGATGCTGTGACCTTTCCAGTCCCGCACTCTGGGGGGTTCCGGCTGTCAGGGCGTCTTAGGGCCGGTGATACTCACTTAGACCTCTTAGTTAACACGGTTTCTGCTCTTTCTCCACTGTAATGCTGTTTCCTGCTTTGTAAACGTTTTTATTTTATTTTTAACAAATATTTGGGGGTAAATGCTTTGAAACTATGCAAATACCCTGTTTCCTTCTCAGACTTGTCCCTTCTAATCTTAGCATCCATCTTGCCTGCAACAATGATTACCCTGGTGTTTGCCTCCTGGTGATTTTTCTATTTCCTTTTTCCTTCTACATTTGTCATCATAGTCCTTCTGTAAGAACGGGCTGCCTCTTCCTTCCCATTTATTTATATATTACATGTTCAGTTATTTACATCAATGCAGACTCAGGTATTTTTAAATTGTATGGATTTAATCCATCGAATATAATTTCTTTCTTTTTAAAAAAGATTATTTATTTATTTTAGAGAGAGAGTGCAAGCATGGGGAGGGGTAGAGAGAGTTAGAGAGAGAGTCTCAAGCAGTTGCCATGCTGAGCTCGGAGCCTGTTGCAGGACTGGATCCCACCACCCCTGAGATCGTGACCTGAGCCAAAATCAAGAGTCTCATGCTGAACCTACTGAGCCAACCAGGCGCCCCTCTCCTGGGTATTTTTTAATTCTGTGCATTTAATCCATAGAATATCTTTTCTTAAATTGTTTCCAAAATTGTTCCAGCTTTGGCCATTATGAGCTCCTTCAGGTTGGCGCATGAGGTTTTCCACATGCAGTCATCCTCTTTTGAGCACTTCCTTAGTTTCTGGCACAAGATGCCTTGTGTGGTTCCCATGCAGGTCCTGGAATCAACCGTTTCTCCAAGGAGCCCTAGTTCCTGTTGTTGGAGTGGTGTTTGAAATCAAGATCTGGGTGTCAGGTGTGCATTGCAATGCAGTGTCATTTCCCTTTTCCTTATCTGTGACTTCTCTCTCTGACACCAAAACACCCAGCTCTCAATAGTTTTAATATACGCACTTGCTATAAATATATATGTACATGTTTGCGTGTGTGTTTATACATGTGTGTGCATGTGTGTTTCAGAATGACTAATCTATATATCTGTAAGAAAAGATTTATTAAGAGGATTACAAGATATGTATACATTTCTTTTTGCCTTGGCTTTATTTATTTATTTTTTTAAAGACTTTTATTTATTTATTTGACAGAGAGAGAGATCACAAGTAGGCAGAGAGGCAGGCAGAGAGAGAGGAGGAAGCAGGCTCCTTGCTGAGCAGAGAGCCCGATGCGGGGCTCGATCTCAGGACCCTGAGATCATGACCTGAGCTGAAGGCAGAGGCTTTAACCCACTGAGCCACCCAGGCACCCACTGCCTTGGCTTTATAGTCAGAGTATTGTTTTGCAAAAATAATTTAGGTTAGACGTCTCCTTCGAGCCCTTCTCCCTTGTTTATATTATTTATTTGTAATACAGTTAGGCTGTGACTTTTGTACTCCATTTCTGGTTCACACATGCATACACACCTCCATTGTTTTTCATTATTTAAAAAATTTTTTTGCATATTAAAATATTGCCATACTTCTCAGTGTCAGAGCTATATAAAAGGCTATATGGGGGCACTTCGTGGCTCAGATGGTTAAGCATTTGCCTTTGGCTCAGGACATGATCACAGGGTTCCTGGATCAAGCCCCGAGACAGGCTCCCTACTCACCAAGGAGTCTGCTTCTTCCTCTCTCTCTGCCCTCCCCTGGCTCATGCTCTCTCCCTCTGTCAAATAAATAAATACAAAATTTTTAAAAAAGATTTTATTTGTTTATTTGTCAGAGAGAGAGCAAGCACAAGCAGAGGAGTGTCAGAGGCAGAAGTAGGCTTCCCATTGAGCAGAGAGCCTGATGCAGGACTCGATTCCAGGACCCTGGGATCATGACCTGAGCTGAAGGCAGAGGGTTTAACCCACTGAGCCACCCAGATAGGATTATATATCTATCTCCTTATATCTCCTTACATAAAGGATGGCACACTATAATTATTTTGCAATTTGTGTTGCTTTTTTTTTAACTCACTAGTTATCCTGGAAATCACTCCGTATCAGTCTTTTGAGATCTTCCTTAATTCTTTTCCCACAGCTATATAGTACTTCGTGCAGGGGATGTGAGCCTACGTCCCTGCAGTTTTTTCATAATATTTTCAAGGTCCATACATGTCACAGTCTGTATCAATACTTCATTCCCTTTTGTTGCCAAATAATATTCCACTGTACAGATAAACCGTGTTTTGTTTTTTTAATCGATTTGGTACAATTAACCTCTACCAAAAAGTCAGATAGAGTTTTTCAAATGGAAACCAGATTCTCCCCCTTGACAGGGTTTGCTGTTGTTTTTTTTTTTTTTTTTAATTGTTGAAGGTTGTAGTAGTTGATTTGTTTAGTGACTTTTCCAAATTATTTTTGGCAAAGGCTGTATTCCTTGTTGTGTGTGCTTACTGAAGTGTCTGCTCTCTGGCTTGTATTTAGCTACTGTTTTGACAGAGATTGCCTTGAATTCCAGGTGCTTTATTTAAAAACAGCAATAGCAAGGGTGCCTGGGTGGCTCAGTCGGTTGAGTCTCAGCCTTCGGTTCAGTTCATGATCCCAGAGTCCTGGGATTGAGCCCTGTGTCAGGCTCTTTGCTTCTCCCTCTCGCTCTGCCTACTTATGCTTCTCATCAGCTCACTGTCAAATAAATAAAATTTTAAAAATATTAAAAAAAAAGACATTATTCATTTCTCTTGTACCTTCCTTAGTTTCTAGTTGATAATATAAAGTGTCTTTCTACTTTTTTTTTTTTTTAAAGATTTTATTTGTTTATTTGACAGAGAGAGATCACAAGAAGGCAGAGAGGCAGAGAGGGAAGCAGGCTCCCCACTGAGCAGGGAGCCTGATGCGGGACTCGATCCCAGGACCCCAAGACCATGACCCAAGCCAAAGGCAGAGGCTTAACCCACTGAGCCACCCAGGTGCCCATGTCTTTCTACTTTTTATTTGCAGCAGACCATGATGAACCAACTATATTGATCTTTATATTTAACCATTTGGGGGAATGGCTGAGTTTGTTGAATGTGGGTTATCTTTCAACAAAGTTGATTTTTTTTTGTTTTTTCCATTCTTATTCTTCTCTGTTATTCAGTTTGGGCATTTTCTACTTCCTTGTGTGTATGTTTTTTTAAAACTTATTTCATTATTTTAGAGAGCACAAGTGTATACACATGTGTGTCTGAGCAGGGGAGGGGCAGAGGGAGAGAAGTCGTAGACTCCCTGCTGAGCACAGAGCCCAATGGGATCCTGAGATCATGACCTGAGCCAAAATCAAGAGTCAGATGCTTAGCTGTGCCCCACCTCCTTACCTGTTTTCTGCTATGCTAACTCTGGGGCTCATCTTATCCAATAAATTCCAAATATTGTACTTGATTCCACTTGACTTTTGGTGGACTTTGTTTTAAGATACTCTGTCCCACATTTTAAATAAATAGTCCTCTTTTTCTTCTATTTATATTTTATTTTTATTTTTTAAAGATTTTATTTATTTATTTGACAGACAAAGATCACAAGTAGGGAGAGAGGCAGGCAGAGAGAGGGAAGCAGGCTCCCTGCTGAGCAGATAGCCCGAGGTGGGGCTCGATTCCAGGACCCTGGGATCATGACCTGAGCTGAAGGCAGAGACTTTAACCCACTGAGCCACCCAGGCGCCCCTCTTATATTAAAAAACATATGAATCGTAACAATTTTGAGGCGCTTGAGTGCGAACTCCACCATGTAGATCATTTCTGGATTTATTGTTACTCTATTATCACTCACCTATTTTTTCTCTTTTGCACTTTGCTTAATTATTTCTCTGGGCGATGTGGGTGATAAAGACAAACTGTAGAAGCTTTAAGTGTTATCTTCCTCTAATGACTTTCATCCTGGCAGACAATCCCGGATGTGGGCTCAGTTCCTATACTTTCCTTTTTCCAAGGCTCAGAGCCCAAAGTGGTTGCGGGGGGGTGGATGGGGGAGGATCTAGGAAGAGGGTAAAAGGATACAAACTTTCAGTTCTAAGATAGATAAGATTGAGGAACTAATATATGAACATGGTGACTATAGTTGATAACACCGTACTGTATAATGGAAATTTGCTAAGAGGCTAGATCTTAAACGTTCTCACCAAAAAAAAAAAAAAGTTAAATACGTGAAGTGATGGATGTATTATTCATTAACTTGAGGATCTTTTCACGATCTTTGCACTGTGCACTTTAAATATCTTACAATTTTAAGGGTGCCTGCGTGGCTCAGTCGCTCAAGCCTCCGACTCTTGATTTCAGCTCAGGTCATGATCTAAGGGTCGTGAAACCGAGCACTGCATTGGGCTCTGTGCTGAGCATGGAGCCTGTTTAAGATTCTTTCTCTCCTTCTCCCTCTGTCCCTTCCCCCTGCTCATGCATGCTCTCTCTCTAAAATATAAATGAATACATAAATAATCTTACAATGTTACTTGTCAAGTATACCTCAATAAAGGAAAAAAAAATCATAGCCCTATATTAACTGTTGGCTGGTGTCTTATTATATTTTATATATAATATATAATATAACATATATAATAATATATATATTATATGGGTGTAGTTGATACCAGCTACTCCACTGTTGCTAAGACAAAAACCCATAGCTATCATTTTTCTAACATCTCATTAGGAAAAATTTCCAACCGACATTCAAGTTGAAATATTTGCGGTAGACTCCTATATATGCAGCTAAATTCTGCTATTAACATTTTGCTGTTTACTTACTTTATCACATATTTATTCATTTATCCATCCATCGGTCCATCTTAGTTTTTGATGGATTTCAATGTAAATTGCAGACATCAGTATACTTGCTGTTAAATATTTCAGGATATACACTGCGAAAATGAATAAATGGAAACCTCATTTAGAATGAAATGGGACGGGTGGGGGGCAGGGTGGAGAGAGCAGGAGGAAGGAAGATTTCTCCCTACTCCACCTCTTGGCAACAGCCCAGCCAATGAGCGACAACCACAGATCAGCCAATGAGAAGTCCTTATACTTTGAATTCCCAGTTTACTCCAAAGGGCTTTTAATTTATAACAGACCTTCCCAGCTCCCCTCTTTCCTCTATAAAAGAGGGTCATGGGTTGCAATTCTTACCTATTCCTAAATAAACCCATTTCTTGCTGGTAAAATAACTGGCAGTTTTATTTGTAAGGTTAGCAATACGTTACCTAGAGTTTAACATTTTAAACTTTTTTCCCCTTTTAGGTTAAATTTATAACATAAAATTCACAAATCTGAAGTGTATATTGGTTGAGTTTTACCAAGTGTATATTTTTGAGCAACCCAAGCCCTATCAAGCTATAGAGCATTGACATTACTCTAGAAAGTTCCATCACGGTTCTTTCCGATCAATTCCCAAACCCAACTCCTAGGTAGAATGACCATTCTTATTTTTCCCCAGCACACATTTTTTTAAAAAAGAATTATTTTAGAGAGAGAGTATGCACATGTATGCCAGCAGGGGAGGGGCAGAGGGAGAGGGAGAGAAGCAGACTCCCTGCTGAGTGGGGTCCCAAGAACCCAAGCTCATGACTGGCTGAGATCAAGAGTTGGATGCTTAAGACTGAGCTACCCAGGCAACCCCCCCACCATAAATTATTTTTGCCTGTTCTAGAATTTCAAACAAATGAAATCATACATTCATTATGTGTCCTTTTTTACTTTTTTCTTTTGTAAGGTTTCTTTTACACAGTATGTTTTAATCCACATTAGTAGTTTCTTGTTCCTTTTTATTGCTGAGTAGTGTTTTATTGTACGAATATACTACAGGTTACTATTTCTCTTGTTGTTGGAAACTTTGTAGACTCCTAACAATTAATACTGTCATAAGGATTGACAAATAGATCAATGGAACAGAATATGCCCATGGAACAGTAACACACCCCACTGATACAGTTATTTAATTTTCTTTTCTTAAAAAAAGGATTTTAGGGGCACCTGGGTGACTCAGTTGTTAAGTGTCTGCCTTCTGCTCAGGTCATGATGCCGGGGTCCTGGGATTGAGTCCCACATCAGGCTCCCAACTCAGTAGGGAGCCTGCTTCCCCCTCTGCCTGCGGCTCCCCCTGCTTGTGCTCACTCTTTCTCTGTCTCTCTGAAAATAAATAAATAAAATATTAAAAAAAAAATTGTGTCTGAAATCCTGCCATTAGATTAGAATCCTTTGATTCATGAAGGTGTCTTTCTTCTCCAAAGAGCTTCTGTGGCTATGAAAGTGGTGAGCTCACTGTCACCCTCCATTTCAGAGACAAAGCTCTGGTACAGTGGGAATTCAGGAATGTTCTGGGGGGACCCCCCAGGAGCACGCTCCTATCAACTTGGACAGAGTGGTTAGAGATGGATCATTTTCTCATTGCTTAACTGGCTTAGCGGGTCACATACACTCACTGGACAGAGAGCTCCCAGAGAATAAGAAAGGGATAAAGGACCACAAGTCTGTGGTCTGGATTCACTCTAACTTCCTGCTCTTCAACTTTGTAAAGCCATGAGCCTTGGCCTTGCAGAAAAACCACTTTGGGGGAGATGACTTTTCCCTCAGAAAACATGAGTCCGGGGTCCAGTTTCCCACCCGAGGAAAGGAAGAGTGATATTGTCACACCAATTCTATTCTCAAATTTCTAGGTATATATGGGTTTTCCTGAGATACCTACTGCCTGGGGATATGGAACATCAGGATTTTCTCTGGCAATAATATCACTTAAAATGACAGTGTGGAGTTCTGCTTATATGAACAGAGAAGGAGAAACTCCTGGTGCAGATGGGACGGCAGGAGTTGGAAGTTCCCTCTCAAAAACTTGAACCCTGCGGGGCGCCTGAGGGGCTCAGTGGGTTAAAGCCTCTGCCTTCGGCTCGGGTCATGATCTCGGGGTCCTGGGATCGAGACTGCTTCCCCATCTCTCTCTTTGCCTGCCTCTCTGCCTACTTGTGATCTCTGTCAAATAAATAAATAAAAATATTTTTTAAAAAAAGGAAAGAAAAAAAAATTTGAAACCTGCTTACCTCAGTTATTTTGATATTCCCCCCAAACTTATTTCCTTATGGAAAGAATAAGGTTCCTTTCCCAATTTCTATGGGATACAAAATCCCCAAAAATTGCCTTAGAGAAGGCAATGCTGAATTAGCAATTATTAACAAGAATGACCTTGCCCTATGTTGGCAAATGTGTGGACAGGAAGCACTCTCATTCACAGCTGGTAAGAGTCCAAAGCTTTTGGAAGCCATATGGCATATGTATTAAAAGGCCCTATCAGGGCTGCCTGGGTGGTTCAGTTGGTTGTGTGTCTGCCTTCGGCTCAGGTTATGATCCTGGTGTCCAGGGATCAAATCCTGTGTTGGGCTCCCTGGTCAGTGGAAGCCTGCTTCTCCTTCCTGCACTCCCCCTACTTGTGCTTTCTCTGTAAAATAAATTAAAAAATTTTTTTAAAAAGGGCCTTATCAATACGTGTACTTTGCCCCAGAAAATTTGATTTTTATGACCCCAAGGAAACAAGGATGCTCAAAATTTCAAAATTGATGTGTTTTCTTTTCTTTTCTTTCTTTCTTTTTTTTTTTTTTAAAGATTTTATTTATTTGACAGACAGAGATCACAAGTAGGCAGAGAGACAGGCAGAGAGGCAGGGGGAAAGCAGACTCCCTGCTGAGCAGAGAGCCCGATGTGGGGCTCCATCCCAGGTCCCTGGGATCATGACCTGAGCTGAAGGCAGAGACTTTAACCCACTGAGCCACCTCGGTGCCCCAAAATTGATGTTTTCTCAGCAAATTGTTTTGCCTCGGGGAACAAGCCTCCCAAGCCTACCCAGGTTTGAGCAATTGAAACATATATTCCTCAACGGAGTCTCTGGGAGTTCTGGTAAGCAAAGTCTGTCTGCTTCTACTCGGTGGTTCCCAGTGCATGAATTCTGTCTACGGAAACACAATCAGAAACGGTAATGGATTGAGAATATACACTGAATTCCGAAGAGAGTATCCCATCCTTGCCTCAGGCTCCCCCCTCAGATGTGTCTTCAATGGCCGTTCCATCTCTATCACTCTGTCAGCCTGGCAGCTTTGGGGGCATGTGCTATGTGGTAAGATCAGTGGATCCCATGGTGATACACACATTACTTTATCTCCTCTGCTATGAAGTAGGTTCCTTGGTTTGAGGCGCGGCCATAGGGGACTGCATGCCAGTGAATCAAGCATTCATTCTATAAACCCCCAGAGAGTCAGTGGTTTTGTCTGAGGCCTTGCGAACAGGAAAGGCAAACATACACCTACAGTATGGGTTGATTCAGTCATAGGCATTGCTGCATATGCTATCTAGAATAGGAAGGGCCCAATATAGCTAACTTGCTACAGAGTGTCTGATGGGTTTCCTAGCGAAATGGTAGCCATATTGGAGATTTGGCCCTGGAGACTCTTGTTGGAAAGTTGGATAT